GGTGTCCACAGTTGCTCTCTGTGCCCTTATATTGTCCAATATTTCAGTTTCTGCCATAAAGTGCAGATATTTGGTATATATTAATTGGGGTAGACAATGGCTCTCTTTCATAGTCTGGCTTGATTCATTTAAGAGTAAGTCTTCCATATTTGTCTTCTTTCTATCTACCTGCAGAAAGATGAAACTGGACCTCTATCTCACTGTTAACACCCCCTGGGAGATGATTTTTCACTTTCTTTCTATCTCTGTCTTTCTGGCGAGCACACACTCCCTAAAGCAACCCCCCCCCAAAAAAAACAAATAAACAAAAAAACTATAAGAAACAATATACACGTATGATTATGTAAAACATAGCCTTCAATGCTGCTCGCTGAAGATGTTTATAACACTTGCCTCTATTACATAAATCACAGCTGTGCTCCACAATGGAATACACCAAGTCTCTTAGAGAAATGTTTACCTATAACTCTTAATGTGGCTAAATGTGCTACAATGTCTTGTGATTAGACTTTTAATTAAATTTGGCTCAGGTAACTGCTTTATAGCTTATATGCTAAAATTGCAAACCTCTTCCAGACCCAAGTGTCCCATAATAATAACTATTTTGGGATTTTCTATTACCTTAAACAGAGTCATAGCAATATACAATCAAAAATTTCTATGAGCCTCAATGAAATTAAAGTAACCCCATAACAATTGCTCTGAAGTATTGAAAACATTCTTTGTACTTTTTCTGGTACCCTGTTGTTTATTCACTCATTGAGAGTGAAAAACGTTCACATTAAAAAAAAAACGTATTAAAGCATAGTAGTGGTTTCCACTTATAGGAGATATTTTTAAATACTTAATCCCTGGGCTCATGTTAACATGGCTGAGGAATTCCTCATTTTCAAGTAAACAGTATAGATAGTATTGGCTCTATACCAATAAAATAACCAAGACTAGTAAGAGACCAGACCATATTTTTCTGAGTATCAGTACAATTTTAATGCTGAAGTTGAATATTATGTATTTTAATGATGTATTTTTAATTTTTCCAACTACCATGTCAAAAATTGCATAAATTTTCATAGTGAAAAATCACTCAATCACTAGAAACATTTGGGGATGAAATTGAACAGAAAATGATTAAATTAATTATAAAGACTGATGCTTCCTTTTTTCTTAACTTTCTTATAAGGAAGCAATTCATGCCTTAAATTTTAAAATATGTGTATAAACTTAATAATACATACTCTTGGATTTGAACGATATATGTGAGAAAAAAGTGTTTTCAAATCAACACGTTGGTGGACATGTATTTATTTTCTAGAATGCTATTTGCTAATTATCAAATCAGTTCATGCCACAAAAGTTTTATATTTTTATTACTTCGAATATTGTTCATTTCTTTTTCATTAAAATTGAATGAAGTATTAGATTCACTTGCAAAGAATGAATCCATCACTTGATTTGCATTTGAGGAATATAGTAGTTACATTAATTTAAACAAAATAAATCACACGGGAATTTGTTAGAAAAGCAAAAATGTGAAATCTTCCTAAAGGAAAATAGATTTTGTTATATAAAGTCATTACATTAGTTATACATTATTTTAATCATTTTTGGAAACCAGTGTAGTGGTTTTTATATTACTGACATCAAGTATTCATCAATTAAAAGTTAGTAACTAGGAGGCCAGCGGGGGGGATGGTGGATAAGGCACTGGACTCCCACATACATAATCATGGTACGAGTCCCAGACCTGGAGGTTTGCTTTCTCAATTTCTCTCCCTCATTCTCTGCCTCTCTTTTCCTCTGTTTCTCTCTGGTGAGCACATGTGTCCTATAGCAAATTAAAATGATTAATAAAAAATTTAAATAAATATTTTTAAAAAGTTAATAACTAGTATTTAATTTTATTTTTTATAGTAAGGTGATTTTTTTTCTTTTCTTTTCTTTGGAGAGGTTTTTGCTATAGGGCACGTGTGCTTGCCAGACAGACAGACAGAGACAGAAAGAAAGAAAGCGAGAAATCATCCCCCAGGGGGATGGTCATGCCGCAATCCCTTCTCCTCTATTCTCCTCTCGGGATTTTGGGCACACACGCACACACGCCTGGCGTGAGTTAAAGCCACTGGGTCCGGGACTCGAATGGCGGTTAACTACATGGGAGTCCAGCAACATAGCTATTAAGTTAACTTCTGGTCCCATAGTAAGGTGATTTCATTGACTTTTTTGGGGGAGAGATTTTTGCTATAGGGCATATGCACATGCCAGAAAGACAGAGAGTGAGAGCGAGAGAGAGAGAGAAAGAAATCACCCCTCAGCGGGGATAGCCATGCGGCAATCCCTTTTCCTCTGTTCTCCTCTTGGGATCTTGGGCAAGCACACACACACACGTGGCATGCGTTTAAGCCACTGGGTCCAGGACTCAAACAGCGGTCAACTACATGGAAATCCAGCAACATAGCCATTACACCAACTGCTGGTCCTCAATTTCATTGACTTTTATGAGAATGTGGTATCTTCGATTCAGTTACTCAAATACATCTTAGTGTTGTCTCATATCAATAATTATGATTAATCATTTATTCTGATTAAGTTTCCACATTAATTATTAAATGAGTCATAAAATAACATGTTTTAATTACACACTTCCTTTAAGTACTTTTACTTGCTCCTCTCACAGGGTGAGAATCTTTCTTACATAGGGTTTATATATGGCAATGGCTTATGTCATGTTAGTTCAATTCACTCCCAGGTTGCTAATGTGATTATATAAAAAGTAAGGCATACAAGTTTCCAAAGAAGAGAAACACAGCATCAGGGAATAGAATACACATCTTTCTCACTCTATTTCATCCTGTTTACTTTTGTCAAAATGTAAAGTTTCAATATAATGAGTCTATGATAGCTCTTTAATATACATGACTAAGTTTGCTAGGGTATCTTTTCAAAATAAGGACAAGTGTCATTATATAATGAGCATTGTCATCCTCCCACTTTCCCCAGAAAGAGACTTCTGGCCTTGATCCTGTATTATCTTCCATCTTCAGATACTTTAAGACTGAATTGAGTGGGCAGACAGATTCATTTAGGGAAGAGCATGAAGATCCAAGCCACGTGAATGAAGGCTGTTGGAGGGGTCAGAGATTTTCAAAAGTAAATTTTGTAGAGATGTAGACTGTTTCATTGATTTACTTATTTTATGATAGAGTTGAGAGTCCCTTCTTCCAGAGGGCTCAAATGCGGTTAACAAGTATCTTTTAGCTCTGCAGTCTGATATACTACTGAATTGCTGGAAAAACTATGATGCATTTTTCTATGCAAAAATACATAACTTTTCTGACAACCCAACACCTCTGTGCCACAGAGACTGAGCCTGTCGGAAAGATTAGCGACAACTAGAGGCCAGTTGTGGTAGCACAACATTTATACAATGCTCCATGATGTAGAAGCCACATAGGAAGGTCCCAGGTTCATGTCCTGAGATCTCCCTGTATATGCAGGTTACATGTGTATGCATGATCCTGGCTGGCAGGGTCTGGGAGTATGAAGATGCTATTATAGGTTGCTGTCTCTCACTCCAGGCCATGGAATAAATAAGTAGATAGCTAGATAGAGAAACTATGGCATGAAGATACTCTTAGGGATGATACCTGTCTCTCACTCTTGCGCATGGAATAAATATTTAGGTAAGTAGATAGATAAATAAACAAAATAAGTAAATGGATAAGCTTAACAAAATCGACTCCAATGCAAGAGGAAAGTTGATCAAAGAAGAAAAGAAATTTTAGGATATATTGCTAAGGACTGTGTGTCCTCTTTCTGTTCATCAAGAAATATAAATAACTAATTTTTAAAGTTACCTTTGCCTTAAGTGCAGTGGATTAAGACACAGCCTTTTAATTAGAGCCTGGAGAATTTAGCTTAACAATGTTATTTTTTGTTGATTTAAAAATTTCATCATAATAACTAAGGCTCTCATGAAATAGGATACACTTTGAAACTTTGTACCATATTCTGTAATTTCTAATCGTTCCATTTTATGTATGTAATTTTAGGTTAAAACTCTTTCTTGGCCTACCTCAAATTAATTTTGATATTGAAAAATGATCATATATTCCTCTCATCCCTGTATGAAAGCTCATTCTCAATATTATAATGCTTCCTTTTCCATTAAAGAAGGAGTGGAATCTATTTCTTCACATATTGAATCCTGTCTGACCCTTAAGACCAGCTTTTGTAGATGGCATATTAGCAAATATAATGTGAGCAGAAGTTTGAAATTTGTCATCTCTTGCTGCTAGAAAACTTACACCATGACTAGCCTAATGTGGGGACAGAAATCTGTCGTGAAAGGGTGACAGCCTTTTCAAGCATCCCACCTGAAGTCTGCATACTTAAAGGACTAGACCATCCAGCTCCAGCCAAGCTCACCCAAATCAAGCTGGAGAATCTACAAAGTCACGAACAGACAAATAATTGTTGATTTAAAGTACTAAATGTTGGGACCAGTTTGTTAGGCAGCAAAAGCTAAATGATTCACCTATTTTCTTTTAATTTTTATTAGATATGTCTTAACACAAGATTTCAAAGCAATTGTAAGTAAGCATGTAATAAGCCAGTCTATGAAAGACAAACACTGAATGTCTCCACTCAATATACACTGCCTGTTTGCACTCCATGGCAGAAGCTAAAAGATTCAGACATGATAGCAGTCAGGATAAGTGTACATACCAAAGACTATAAGAAAGGTGAGTGGATAGTAGGGGATGGGTGGGAGGGGCTCAGGAAAAGAGCATTTAACAAACATGAGAAAGTAAGGTTCTTCGTTCAAGATGACGTATACGGTAATATCCTTGATTTGATTATCACACTTTGCATGTATGCTTTGAATTGTGCCATAAAGATGTATAGTGATTAAATGTAAAGAAGTAATTATAAAATAAAATTGGAAAAGGAAAAGAAGATGTGGCCCTCTTCTCAAATCACTGAAACCCAAATACAACAAGTACCTGATAGTCTTTCCTGGGTCAGCCTCTATAATCCAAGTGCAGTGGAGATTGTTGTCATAAGGAGCAGGGTAGCCGGGGGACAGTATGCGTCCTGACGTGGCAGCGTGGATCCGACCTCCACATTCAGCTGCAAAAGATATAGAGAGCTGAGGAAGTCCACCACAGTGTCTCTCCTTTACATTTAGCTACTCTGAGATATGAAACCATCATGCTTGCACTAGGTAGATAGGAAGAGAATCAACATCATCTGTCTCCCTCATTTTGCTTCTTCCCAGTCATGATCTTGGCAGGAAGTCTCTATCCTTCATGAAATTAGAGTAGAAAACAATGAAACACTCATGTTATCTTGTAATAATAACTCTGGACATAGTGTCCGTCTTCTTCCATACCTGGCAACCTAAACACACACACACACACACACACACAGACACACACACAGATAAATCATAGGAATAAAAAAAATAATAAGATCACTCCTCTTTTTCAAAAGAATGCAATAAAAGCAATATGGAGTGAGAGATCATGGGTCTCGCACTCGCACAGTCATCTGAACACCTTCCCAACTCACCAATACAAGAAGGCAGTGGCTTATCCCACACTCTGCGGTCCCCACTCAGACATGTCAGGGTGTTGCTGCCGTGCATGGCGTAGCCTGGGTTACAGCTGTACAGAACTACAGTGTCCGTGAAGTGGCCCTCATCACGAATTCTGTAGCCATAGTTAGGGATGCCTGGATCCTCACACTTGACTAGATCGAAACCTGTAAGAGATAAAGGGGAGCAATGAATGTAACCCATGTTAGAAGGTATGCTAGCCTTAAAATAAGGGTAAAATGAACAAGGTTGTTAAACATCCCTTGACGTGTAGAAAGAAAAAAGGAAAGGCTGTGAAATTATAAGGGGGAGAAAATGCGGTTTTTTTTTAGGTTTAAAAGTTAAAAAGCCATTATTTCTTGAGGTTGATCACCTTTTATGTTCTACCCTATTTATCTCTCTCTCTCTCTCTCATTTTTTTAAAGAGGTATTTTTGCTATAGGGTGTATATGCTCACTAGAGAGACAGAGAGAGAGAGAGATAGAAAGTGAGAAATCAACTTCCGGGGCAGGGGGTGGCCACATCATAATCCCTTCTCCTCCAGTATCTTCTCGGGCCTTGAACACACACACACATGTGCCTGACACGAGTTTTAAGCTGCTGGGTCCAGGACTCAAACCACTGTTGGGAATTCAGCAATGTTACTTTTACACCATCTGCTGGTCCCACTCTACCCTATTTATAAGATCTGTTTTATTCCAAAGAGTTACATGTTTTCATCTGTCCTTCCTTCCCTCTGGTCAGCTTGCTGGGTTCTCCAGTAAGCCTTGATGCCTTCTCTGCACTGCAGGGTTTGCTGCCTTCACCTCCTGTCCCTGACACAACCCAGGATCTCCAAGAAAAAGGAGCTATTCATGGGTATGGGATCACCAGAGCACTCTGTGGGATCTTTACAGCCAGTGCTCAGTCCACCTCATCATCAAGAATCATCCCCCTTTGCAAAACTTCCCCCAAACTCCAAGCACTCCAATTCCATGGGAAACTAAAAAGTTGTTTCTGCCCACCAAAACCAGAGGCCTTTGAATTACCACCCAGTAGATTCCTCATGGCACAGAGTTTTGAGGTTCTGGAGCAACTCCATGCACAGCAGCATTTCCAGAAATGAATCATTATAATGACTTCATCAAACTATGCTCTTAAACTCAGAGAAATAGATGACAGAAATGAAGATTTAGCTTCTACCGTACTGAGAGCTGTATATTGCTTTTATGGGAGGCAATATTTTAAGGCCATCTGTGAAGACAGCCTTACAGTAACATATTTCTCTTCATACCATGATGCAAATTTTGATGACTTTTCAATGTAGAACTGGCACCTGATGAGTCCACACGCTCTGTTTACTTTTAGTTCTACCTAAGTTTAGAATTTTTTGTGTTCTCAAAAGAAAAAAAAATTAAAGTTGAATGAATGATTTTTATGCAGTCTGCCCATCGCACTTCCATTTTGAGATGCTTTCCACTGAGGAAAATAGATCCTTAAATTCACAATATAATTTTAGTCCACTGACTTCTAAATAATCTAGAGAGGGTTTTGCAACTTTGAGGAGAGAAAAAGACTATGTGTTTAATAATTTACACTGAGTTGCAAAGAAAAGTTTCCTTCTATCAAGTCTCCTTCCATAAAGTGTCAGTTATTACCAGTACAATAATCCTAATCTATTGAAGAACTACAAAAAACTTCCATCTAAGATGCCCAAGAGGCCAGAGTATTAAAAAAAAATGTGGAAAAGAAAGGGATATTTTAAATTGCCACAAGAGGAGATAGGAATTCAGGGAATGGATTTCAATACACATGGTCTTTGGAATCCTGCCCATATTTGACCTGTGTGCTATGCTTGCATGGCCCAAGGCACATGAGGAGACGGTCAACTGTGAAACTATTACATCATGCATGACATAACTCATAGATGTCATAGAATTTCAGTGTCCTTTATAAAGACCTTTCCTATTATTTAGTGCTCACTTCCCTTTTGTTTCAACTTGTGGTTTTACTTGGTTTTGGAGTTTATAACAGACAGGTTTGAACAATGCTTCAGTGACAGTTCTGCCCAGGAATGAGGACAGCAGCCACCAAGGGATGGGACAACTCTATAGTTAGGAGGAGATGATTTTTATTCACCACACTTGGAGTAGAGCTCTACAAGTAATAAGCAATATTTTAAACTATCGGATTGTTGGAAAAGTCATCATGTATTTCTCTATGCTTTTCTCTGCAAAACTGCATCATGATTTTTCTGACAACCCAATATTTCACTGTCTTAAATTCAGGCAAGGTGTCCTGAGCATCAAATGCCAATGGAATGTAAAATTGGAAATATTTATTTAAAAAATATGGGTACAAAAAACAGAAACTAAAAGTGTCTGACATCTATTTCTCTTATCAATACCATTGGAGCAGAATTGTGTGTAAATTAAAAATCAATCTGAAGAATTTCCACCTCACATGCTAAGAGGACCATGGAGGTTCTGTCAATTAAGGCTGAGACTGTGTATGACAGAGGGCCAGGGGACTGTGAGACCTGACTGGTGAGTGCCATTCCCAAGAAGCAGCCTGGGACTGCTGACCCGCTCAGGTTCATGGTGCTATGATGCAGCTTCTCATTTTTCTTTTCTTTTCCTTTCTTAATTTTAAGAGAGATTTTTGCTATAGTGTACATGTGGTCGCTGGAGAGACAGAGACAGAAAGTAGAAATCACCCCCCCCAGGGGGGATGGCCATGTAAAATTCCTTCTCCTCCATTCTCCTCTTGGGATATAGGCACATAAGTACATGTGTCCAGAATGAGTTTTAAGTCACCAGAACTGTGACTTGAACCGTGGTCCACTACGTGGGAGTCTAGTGATGTAACCATTAAGTCATCTGCTGGTCCCAGCTTCTCATTTTTTTAAAGGATACTAGAAATCTGGATCTTTGAAAATTTATGAAAATGTCTGATGAATTATTAGATATTATTAGCATGGAGATATTTTCAGTTCTGGGTTAGATTGTTAAAACTAAATATAAATAACATTAAAAGAATGAGCTTTCTTATTAATTCTTTAAAGCTGCATAAATGCCTGGCATCATTTAATTTTGTCAACTGGTGGTCAAGTCTTTCTTCAGATTCAGAATGGAGAAATCCTGGCATATTTTCCACATAATGCTTTAAACTAAGCTTTGAAATACAAACATTTATCTGTCAGGGATGATGAAACCCTGAACAAAATAGTGGTCAAGATTACTATCCATCTTACCAATAAATTATTTTCTGGATTTACTTGTTTATTTTCTGGAATATAAGTTAGTACAGAAATTATGGAGAATGATATGGAGGTTCCTCAGAAACTTACAAATAACCCAGTACTTCACTCTTAAGTATCTATCCACAGGATAGGAAAACCCTTAGCTGGGAAAACACTGCTACATTCATGTTTACTGCAGTATTATTTACACTTGCTAGGACATAGAATCAACCAAAATGTCCAAAACTTGAACAGTGGGTTGAAAAAAATGTGGCATATATACTCTCTGGAATACTACTCAGCCATTAAAAACAAAACAAAACAAAACAAAACAAACAAACAAACAAAAAATAAAATCCCCTGGGAAATCTACCCAGCCAATAAAAAAAAAACAAAAAAAAACAAAACAAACAAACAAACAAAAAAAAAAAACAATGAGACCTTTATATTTGATACAAAATGGACAAACATGGAAGACTTAATGCTAAATGAAGCAAGCCAGAATATGAAAGACAGACTTTGTACATATCCCCACTCAATAAATACAGCATGTAGGCACTATATAGCAGACACTGAAAGATTGGAAGGTATAGTGGCAGGGAGGGCAGTGTAGATCATAGAAACAGTAAGGAAGTGGTATTAGGGTATGGGTAATAGTAGCAGGGAGGGAGGGGAACTGGGAAACAAACAAAAAAAAACACAACACATTTAATGGACACTAAAATGAAAAGTTACTTGTTGATGATAGTGCACATAGATATGCACTATATTGACACTGGAAAAAAAAAGATTGTACACTGTAAAGATGTATAGTGATTAAATGTAAATAATAAATCTATATTAAAAATGAAAAACATTTTAAAAAGAAAGGCCTAGAGAGAGCTTCCTAGAAAATCAAAGGTCCTACTGTGTGCTGCACATGTTATGGACCAACTTAATTGCCCATTGGGGAACATGATGCTGTCTCCAACATTTACACTGGGCACCTTTGCAGCTCAGAGTTCAAGCACCTGTCCAGTTCTCAGAGCCAGCTAGACTCTGACGTAGAACTTCAGACAGTGTGACGTCTGGACCCTTAGTTTGTCTGCACTTATTAGGAATGCAGCCCTCGTCTGTTGCTTTGCTACCCACAAATTACATGAGATTCATTTCCACTGTGCTTTATTTGCAGTGTGTTTAAAGAATAAAATATAATCAGACTTCTAAAAATTTCAGCACTGCCTTTAAATATTGATAAAAATAACTTGCACTGATATATAATAGCAGTAATAGGAAATGACAAAATAAAATTCTGTGATGTTGATTTTGCACTATTTCAGGGAAGATTTCTTTATGTTTTATTTTTCCAAATCTCAAGTTTTCAAGGGAATATGCTTCTATCTATAAAGCCATTATTTCAAAAACCAGGTATCTCCATGTTAATGGGAATGTAAAAGACTTTTGAATTATCAGTCTTAAGGGTGCTGAAGAATAATAACTTGAGAAATGGAGACGGTATATTTTCTGTCTTGAAACCACTAGCCTGCAAGAACTCAGTGTAAAGATTACTGTTTCTGTATTTTCTTTATGCTGTGGAAACTTTAGAAAGGATTAAATCACAGTATTTGTGTCAAAACATAACTGAGAGTTACAACTGATGCGTGTATCTAACAATTCCTTTCCTTCTGCTTTCTAGTGGTTTCTTCTTAAGTCGTACACACAACAATGATGATACAAACCACACATTCTAGTCAAAACAAGCTTCAAACATCAAACAGATAAAAATTACTTATCCATATCTTTTGCAATAATTACTGGTCTTCACATTTTTTATGAAATCCTACTTCTCTTCTAAGTCTTAATCAAATATTAACAGTATAAGTGACGTTTTAGCTTTCATATATTTGGACTGGTTCTTAACTTTCCAAAAACACACTTGTATATAAAAGAGAACCTGCTCCAGACTAA